TTTTTGTATACAAAAATCTCATATGATGGTTTTTATATGATTTTGAAGATGACGACTTTCGTACACAAAAAACATTTTTCAAAATTTGCATCTGACGGTGCAATTTCGGTAGAGTGAGGCGGGTTAGATAAAACCTCCTAACACCAGCTCAGCTCTTTTATGAGGTTTTTAATAGGTTTCGCAACATGAAGAACAGCGTTATCATGCAGCAAATTTGCAACGTTTGTGCCGTTTTAGCTTTTTGATATGATTTTTGGCAAACATTCTGGTATACAATTTCCCTCCTCTTACTTTGAGATGGAGCTCGTTCTAAACTCTACTAATTCTCTAAACCGTTTCACTAGCATTTTCCCTACGCACCATTCGTGAATGAGTAGGAGGCGAATTCGTTCCCACGTCAGCTCGATCTCAAACAAGTATAGACAATTAGTACACCAGAATGTTCATAAGAAAATGCGCAATCAAAAGATACTAAAATCAAGCAGTTTCAATTCCTATTGGTCAATAAATCTACAAAGTTCCCCTGAATGGCGTTTTTCTGTTACAAAACTCTTCATCTTCAAAGTCCTATTAAACCATTACATAAGTACTTTGTAAATGAAAACACATAAATAAACAGCGTTCTTAACGCATTTTCAGACAAGAAAGATAGGCCTATATTTACTTTTACTATTATTACAGTCAGAATAAACGGCCGAGTCATATTTGTACATCTAATACAAATTATACTTCTTTTCAACCCTTTTTAAAAATTTTCACGACAACTGGGCATTTCTTTTTTGATAGAAGAACGTTTATAACAGTCAAATTTGCTAGGAACTAAGATTTTATATGTAACAGCAGAAAATCCGCTGCGAAGTTGAAACAACTCAGTCCGAAATAAAAACGTCTTATTTCCGTTGATAGAGCGTACTATGGAAGTCTTACAGAATCAAACTAAGCAGTAAAATTCCTATTTCTCAAGCTATCGAGTGACCACTGATAGTCTAGTAAAATGCTTCTTTCCAAAAAAAACCACAAAAAAAAAACACATTTCATAGAATGCGACTACATTACACACAATTCGTAATTGAAAAGTGGAGATTTATGGATGATTACATGGGCAATACTTTCTATGTGAATGTGTTTGTGAAAAATTGTTCAGTAATATACTACCTTTTCGCGACGATAAAGTTTTCTCATAGTCAAGATTTCACTGCATAATACCAAAAACTAATTGTAAAGTCAAAACAACACACTCCGGAAACAAAACGCTATCTTTTTCTGATCAATAAAACTTGGATCAAAATCGTTTCAAAAACCAAGCTTGATATCAAAATCGGTATTTCTCAAGCTCTCCAATGACTATAAGACCTTCGACTAAGAAATAAATAGTCGTTATGATTCAGCTGAAAATATGTTTTCCTTAACAGCAATGCTTCTCGTTTTTTTCTCGTTGGAACGTAAGGAATTTTCCAACACATGAACCCTCTTTTTACAAAAATTAACTTTGAAGAAACATTCTCAGTTATATGCCATAATACAATCACGATAAAGTTCCTTTGAACTTTAATTTAGCTAATGCTAATTTGAGAAAAAAGATCTTTAACATTCGCTTAAATTAAATTTGATGTTTGTTCCACACAGTATCGGTTGTTGAACATGAATGGGATTATCTTAAGAGTATTTCCATAAGTGGGTCTACCTGGTCAACCATGATCGGAGAGAATTTTGGGTCCCAATAGGTGAAACTCCGTCATTAGTTGCACATCAAAACCATTCGGCAAAAAGGTCATGATCAGTGTTTGGTGGAATTTTTAAGGCGTCTTGTGCTTCGAACTTGTTCCAAATGGTCGGGCCATCAATGGCGAACTCTACTGTTAGCAGCTGAACCGAGTCTACCGTGCGCTGAAGGAAAAGTATCCGATAGCGATTCGTCGAAAGCGCTCGTTTTTTCGACAACACAAACCCAAACCTCACACCACAAAGAAGACTAAGAAAAAATCTCATGATGGAGGCTGCACCGTCCGATTCGAGATCCAGTTCCGCTCAATAGGACATTTCCTGCGTGAAATCCGATGCGAGACATTTGATCAAGTTGAAGAGGCATAATAGGGTTTTTTTTTTTGATTCAGATCCCAAGGAACGGAGAATTCGAGCAGATCCGGAAGCTTGCAGATCGTTCGACAGGATCATGGATAATGATGGTCTTTAACTTGAAAAATAATTATTGCTCTTTTTGATCGGTTTCATGTACAAATCTTAAAATTTCAGCGGGTGTTAAGGAACTTTCTCATCAACCCAATAATTTCCCTTTATTTTCTTTGCGGTGTGAGTCCAAACAAACTTGCGGGAGAATGCGGCGTAGCCAATTACAAGCTTAACCCTTTCGGAACCGGATGTACCAACGCTGCTACACGCGCCTTTATGCGCTTTCCTCACCAAGTACAGACTTTCAGTAGACTTTTAACAGACATTCAATAGATAGAAGAATAGCGGTTCTGATACTACAATTACTTTTTAGAAACAGTTTCTTAAAGAGCTGTAGCAAGGAAGAGAAAATTACGAAATTTTCTTCAAAGTATTAGCATTTCTGCGCTCGTCTTTAGTTGGCTTTTTCACTAGACAAAGCTTTTTCACTAAAGTTTTGGTAGTCCTTCGATAGCTGGAAAAACGGCGATTTGAATTGTGAACCACATCTTCAAACAGAAATTTTTATTGCGCTGTAGTAACGACGAAGGGAAATTATGTTTCGCCTTTCATTATCGGGACCAAGTGAGTCAAAACTGGTACATTGCGTTTTGCTGGCTTCCCGTCAAGCAAGAATTCTCATTAAGGTTTTGATAATCATTCAACAGCCAAAATAAACGCAATTAAAATACTAAGTTTGTTTTCTGGAAGGGGTTTCTTGGTGTGCAGCAACAAAGAGAAAGGTAGGGTTTGCTTGCGGAGTGATTAATGTGTTTTGCATCCGTCTTTGCTTGCCTTCTTCGCCAGATAGAGTGTTTTTACTAAAGTTCCGATAATTTTTTGATAGCTTGAGAACTGTTAGTTCTGTCACTGCACATTTCCAACAGTAATCTTTTTGATACGGTGTAGCAATTGCGAGATTAAATTACGTTCTAACTTTGATCTTCACTATTTCAAAGCTGTCTACGCTTGGTCATTCATAGATATTTAATGTTAATTAGATAACCACTTGACAGAAGAAAAATTCGATGATTTCGAATTGGTGTGAATTTAGAGAAGTCTTTGTACACATAATAGTTATTTATGCAAGAAATTTGTACGGAGGTATAGAGAAATTTTGTGCTTTGTCAGAGTATTACAAAGAACCAAAAAATTAATTTTGAAACAAAGAAAAAATCTTTGTTGAAATACGGAAATCGTGCGCCACTGGGACATCGATTATGCTGCCTTTGGCAAAGGGATGATGTAGGTCTCAAGTGCGAGGAAAATTCTGCGGGTGAAACGTAATTCCTTTTTGCTCTCACATCACCCTAAGAGCTTTTCGAAACAGATATTTTGCTTGTCAGCTTTGTCATGATTTATGCAATCAAATGGCCATTAAATTTCAAAAGGAAAGCTATCCACAGACGTAAGCCGAACAAGTTAAAAAGACTGTTCTCAAAAATCAAGTTAAGTATTGTATTTGTGGAGATTTGAGTTATCGAATGATTACTAGAAGTTTGAGAGAAAAGCTTCCTCCACCAGAAAACGCTTGGTCCCGGAAGGCTTTGAAGGTTGACGACCTCTTCTCCTCTGTTCAACAAGTGAAATAATGAGTTGTTCAGTAGATGCCCAGTTCCAGTGAAAGCCGGTCGTGGGACTATCCAGCAATCATTAGTTCAGCTCTTGCATTTTTTATTGTGATTATCATCTTATAAAGGTTTTTCCTCTGCATTTTGAAGCAATTTTACGCCTCTTCAAAGGTCATGCCCTCTATCTCGCATTCCCTTTTCAACATAATAATATTCTGCGGAGAAATGAGAAATCAGAAAGGAATGAGGAAAGAGAATCACCATGCAGTCGGTCCTAGGAATAACAATGTCATTTATTTTGTCAATATCAATAATTTGGTTCTGAATAAGCCGAAGTCTATCACTTCATTGTATTTGCTTACAACAATGCATCAAAAAAATACGATTAATGTCGAGTATTAGTGATTAGAATAGCTGTCAGCTCAACTGGGTTTATAAAGCGAAATCGCATACCCCAACAAACCTGTCAAAGGTTGGTGGCTGATAGCTAACATTGAGATGTTGAAGAATGAGTGGTCGGGCAAATGTGCCTCAGTGCTGTAGTGGTACAGCACGCGTCCCCGGATAGGATGAAACGTGGGTTCGATTCCCGCCTGAGGCCGCGTTTTTGCTCACCACTCAATCCTCTTAGGTATATTGAAAAAAAACAAATCTTTAATTCATCCGCTTTCTAGCAGTGATATGATGCCGAAATATTACCTAAAAAGATTGAGTTGTACGCAGAAATTCGATCTCTTCAGCGGGAGTTGAACCTGCGTTTAACCATTACTCGCGGCGCTACCACTACACCACCAAGGCCAACCGGTTCGCGACTACTCTTTCTTCGAAAAGAGCTACTGAAGCTGTCAGGATTTATCCCTTGACGGGCTTGGGCTGGTGTGCAGATTTTCCCACTGGACCTAGTTGAGCATACAGCCTGTCTATATTTGATAATCGAGCCTTGGTAGCGGTTCAATTCCTGAGGCCGAAATTTTGCGCGCCACTCAATCTTCTTAGATGGATATTCAACAAAAAATAGATTACCCATTGGCAAGGACAACGTTTTCCAAGTGATTCTTTCTTTCTCAGACCCCCATGACGCTAATAACTTGGGTGATTAAGCGAGTTGCTTCGCACTGTAGCGCTTTCTGGTCGTCTGACGCTCAATATAACAGTGGCGGCCACTTAATTCTCAAGATTTCTTAGTGTTTTATTGTTTTTTCGCAGTGTTGTGATGTTCCAAATACACCTAAGAGAGAATGAGTGGTGAACAAAAAATCCGACCTGAGGCGGGAGTTGAACCCGCGATTTGTCAATAACGAGGGCGCGTGTCTACCACTACACTACAGAGGCACCGTTTCGTTCCGCTCTCAGGTAAATTTGAGACCTCACGAGAATGCGAAAAAAAAATAGTAAAACAAAGAAACCTTGAGTAATACACCTAGGAGAATCGAGTGGTAAGCAAAAGCTCGACCTCAGACGGGAGTTGAACCTGCGTTTCCGCTCATACCGAAGAGCGCGTTCGACCACCACACCACCGAGGCACCGTTCCGGTTTATTTAGAACATACACAGCGGTGCCGCAAAAAGTAGCAAAATCATACGAAATCTTGAGAATATGAAGGTACAATGACTGTCAGGTTAGCTGGATTTGTGGAGCGATATGTAGCTACCCGACCAAACCTGTTAAAGGTCGGTGGCTGACAGCTATGATACAGAATGGAGATAAGTGGGAGGTAGATCGATGGCCTAGGTGGTGTGATTGTAGCGCACGCGATCGGACATGGGTTGAACACGGGTTCAACTCCCGCCTGAGGTCGGATTTTTGCATACTACTCCATTCTCTTGAAGGCCATTTAGTTTTTTCTTACAAAGCCTGAAGGATAAAGCCCTCGGCTCTGATCAATCCCTGAGGGATGCGCCATGTACTCGTCTTCAATTTTCTTCTTCGTTTGAGGTGATTGAATGCGTATCTGGCCTTTACAATGACTCGCGGTGGCCTCCCGCTGTATCGGGTCAGTGTTGGTTGACCTCCCAGACAAGTGTGAGACCAGTCTAGTACCAATTCACCGACTCCGGAGGGATGGATGGCTCGGTGAGCCAAGGGCGCGAGATTGAACCACTGACCTCGCGTACAGCGCAGAGCACCTCTAACCCCTGCACCACATGAGCTCTTAGTTTCTCTGATAGTTTGGCTAATTTCACAAGGTTTATTTATAGATTTGATCGGCTAGCATTCCGACGTCTTCGTCTCACTTAACGAAACCGTTATCGATCGCTAATGCCGAGGTTGGAGAAAAGTCGCTTTTCATGGTGACGTCATTCAGTAATAAATTCCCTCTATAGCTAAGTGGTTAGGGTCTTTAGCGTCTGAGCTTGAGAAAAAACATTTTAATCGATCATTTCCCTTAGCTGTCAGGGTATCCGGGTACGATGCGGATACGTGGCTCACCAGGCCAAACCGCTGGCGGTTGGTTGCCGACAAAATCGAAACCTAGTATGTCAGAAAGAATGGTGGCGGAAACAGGCACCTCAGCGGCGCGACTAGATAGGATGTGTCCTCCCTAAGGGGTGAAATGCGGGTTCGTTCGCGACCGAGGTTCAGAGCTTTGCATTCCTTCTATCTCATTCTATCTCATTAGATATATGATCATAACATCATACCACTGATACAAGAGCGGTTAGATTGAGAATTCTTGGTAAAAGTTACGCAACAATAGAAGAACTTATTCATGGCCGCGCTTTTCGCCTGGTCGACTGTTCGGAGGGCTACAAAGAACAAATGGGCCTTCCTTCAGTCAATCTAGAGGGGTCAGTAAAGCAGCTGGATAAGCACGCGCTCCCAGACAGGGAGACGCGGGTTCGATTCCCGAATGCGGCTCAAAGTTTTGCACGTCCCACAGCACTACTGAATCCCTAAACAAAATAATGAGATATTATCTTAATTATTCAATGAAGATGAATAATAGGGAGAGCTTTGAATCTCGGGCAGGAGTCGAACCCGCGTCTCATCCTTTGCGGCGACGCGTGCTAACCACTGCGCTGCTTAAGCCACTATCAATCTTCCACTTGGTTATTATTTATATCGAATAAATCCACAGATAAAAAAAAACCATTGAAACAACGATCGCAACGGACCGACGATCCCGCCAAAAAAAATGCGCCGGGGGCGGGGCGACGGCCGAAGCGTGACACAATGGAGGGCGGTGGGTCCCGCAACGATTTCGCACCGTCGCCAGCGGCGCGTAAATTCTCTCCATCCGTTTCAGTTTGAAAATTTCCTCTTCGGATCCTCAAAGGCTTTTCCACTTGTCTGATTCTCTTTGTTTTTTCCTCGCTATATTCTTTTCTCTCCTTCCCGTTCCCTTCTCTCCTCCCTCTCTCCTCTCTGTCAACTTTTCTCTCTTTCTCGCTCCCTTCTTTCTCTCTTTTCTCCTCTCTGTCTTCTTCTCTTTTCGTCGCTTTTTTCTTTCTTTCTTTCTATCTGTTTCCTTTTCTCCCTTCTTCCCTTCCTTCTTCTTCCTTTCATTTTGCCTTCCCTTTTTTCTCCTCTCCTCCCTTCTTTCTTTCTGCCTCTTTATTTTCTTTTCTCTCTTTCTCGCTCTCTTCTTATTACTTTCTTTTTCCTCTCTGTCTCGTTTTCTCTCTATCTCGCTCTTTTCTTCTTAATTTTTTTCGTCTCTGTCTCCTTTTTTCTCTTTCTTGCCACCTTCGTTTTCCCTTCTTTTTCCCTCTCGTCTTGTCCATCATCTTTTCTCTCTCTCTCTCTCTCTTAGAATTGATTAAGAGTTAATTACGCCGAGGACTCGCTGATACCGGTGCATTCATGAACGGTTTCGTGGATCACTCAAGGGATGGTAAGCCGCTTTATTTGTATTTTCTTACTTTTCCAGTCTTTTTTCCTCTTCTCTTTGGTCTTATTCAGATTCGTCTCGTATGATTGATATCTCGAATCCATCGGCCATTCCACCGGATGATCTCGATAATCCGTTTGTCGCCTCAAAAACCGTTTATGTGAGTTTTATCATCAGAGGTGCTTCAGCTATAGCAGTGATCAGTCTTGACGTGTTAGACCTTGTCAGCTCTGGTGGCCGACCAAATATTACGATTCGCTGTCGGTCATTCACGCCATGAAAACGATCCCGATATACGCACTTGTACTCATGTGTTTTCCCTGATTTCGTCGCTGTGAATCCTCTATTTTAATTGCTTTTTCTTTGGCTAATATTTTTAATCATAATTATACCAGCAAAGAGCAATCGAGTGCGCAACACGTCTGTGTTAGGTGAAAATTTCACTTAACATAGAGTGTAAAACGTTCGTCTTCGATGACTCTCTCTAGGGAGAGCTGGGCTCCCGAGAGAACTGACTATAAAAAGATCGAAAGACGACGGGTTCTGCCCGACTGACGAGTCTGTAAGGACGAAACACGTGTATCGGGCTGTACAAGAGCCCTTACCAGACCACATGACAAGTTGGCTCAGATACTATTTCTTTATTCTTCTTGACCCATCATCACAGTTTCCTGTGCAGATCAGATCCGCGATTAGTTCTCGTATTCAGTTCTTTTCCTCGGCATTCATCCTCCACGTGGGTCTTTGAACATCTCAAGTGTTGCTTCGACTTCTGCATGACGAAATCGGCCTGCTTGTGAATATCGCAGATACCCGGTCGAGACTGTTCTTGCACTCGCGACGGTGGCCGAGATGAGACGTTCTCCAAGGTGTTCAGTCCAATTCAGTTGCAAGAATGTTGAAGGAGGTGTTAATTGTCACCTTGAATCTTGCTACACTACATCACTAGCCACTGCGCTAGTCAGCTTCTGTATGAGTGCTTCAAATCCCGTAGTATAATGAGTACTGGTTTTTTTTCTTTCGGAATGGTTAGGGGACGGGGAGGGCGTGGAAGTAGTGGGACTTCCAAAACAACTCAGTTTTTAAGGCGTTATTTCTTCAGTGTTTTTATTGTTTTGCGCGAATCCACCCTCTCTTATAGGAACAGCATCGCCAGCCAATCTATGCATGTGCTTTCAATCCTTATCAACCAGACGGATACGTGCCAATCCTTGCTACTGCTGCGAAGAATATGGTAAGTTAAGTGCCATTGATCAAAGGTTTCAGAGATCTTTCCTATACATTTTCGCTATAATTTTAGGTATTCTGGTAATGTTGCAGTGATTTAGATTACCATCTATCAATGTCCTCTCAATTCGAATAAGATCAACCTCGTTCGAAGCATCAAGGATCCGTCGGTGGGATTTAGCCTTGTTTGTGACATTCTAGGTTTGGTTTTTTGCGGTCGTGGTATTTTAAAAATGTGATTTGAAGCCAGATATGGATATATTCACCCTGACCTGGTGCTATGACATTGCGGACAAAGCCCATCGGATTGCTTTCGGAGGTTTTTCTGGGCTTATTCGTTTGCTCGATGTTTCGTCTGGAACTCTGCTAATGGTCGGTTAGCTGTCGTCTTTTCGCGCTAGTATTCATGCCCTGTTATAATTATATATCCAATAATGTTAGGTGATATGTAAAACTTTGAACCTCGCACGAGAGTTGAAACCGGGTTTCACCCTTTCCGGGAGCATTAGAGAAGCCCAGGTGCAGTGGTTAGCCCGCACCCTCCTAAGAGGTGAGACGCGAACTCAGCTCACAGCCGAGGCTGTAAAGTTTGCATTTCACGCATTGTTGTTGGATATATAGTTGTAGTATCATACCAATGCTAAGAAAGTTATTGATCGGAGAATCCATCTCGGCTTCGTGACTTGATTTGTCCGCCAATTACAGAATATGTACGGCCATGGAGATCACGTAAACGAGATGCGCACAGATCCTAACAATTCTATGATATTCGCTTCGGTTTCGAAAGATACTACCATACGCTTATGGAATATCCGAGTTCAGGGGCCAATCGCAATTTTAGGAGGGTACGAAGGTCACAAGGATCAAGTACTTTCGCTTGTTAGTCTTTCTATTTTCCTCATTTCTTTCTCAATATCACGTGTGGTTTAAATATATAGATTCTCGTGAGGTTTTGGTATGTACTTTCATACAGGATTGGTCGCTAGACAGTAAATACATCGTCTCGATGTAGTATGGACCACTCCATCAGGCTATGGTACTTAGGATGTGAACAACTCCAAGAGCGTATTCGTGACAGCATGACACTCAGGGGCCAAATCAATTTCAGGAAGGATTTGGCAGAGTAAGTCTTCTGTGATTCATTCTTTTTTTCTCTTTTTTTTCAGCCATCAATTGACCAATGTGGCATGGATAAAGATATACTTTTATTTAGGGTACTTTTTCTAACTGTGATTTTTCTGGTTCTTGTTGTAAAATCCCACGGATTTCCCTC